GCCTGCACCCCCCGGGGTCTGCTGGAGGGACACATGCCCGCCCGCCTGCACCCCCCTGGGGTCTGCTGGAGGGACACACACCCGCCTGCCTCGCTCCCCGCTGGGGTCTGCTGGAGGGACACCCACCCACCCACCTCACTCCCCTGCTGGGTCACCAGCAGATGGACACTAAGCCAGGGCTTATTGGCCCATCCTTTAATCCCTGGAGAGGGAACAGCTGATGCTTCTGAGTCACCACGATCCTTGACCCATCCATGCTCAGACATCACCCCCAGAATGTCCTTTGCTGAGCAGTGCCCCTCACTGTCTCTTTACCTTGCTTCATTTCTGCTCACATCCGTGACTGCTGCCTGATAGCACCTTATATAGCTATAAAAAACCAAACCCAAACCCACTGCCGTGAAGTCCGTTCTGACTCAGAGTGACCCCGCAGGACAGAGTAGAACTGCCCCGTAGGGTTTCCTAGGCTGTCATCTTTTTTTTTTTTCCCCTTTGTTTCTGGATATGCATTTATTTATTTTTTGTTATACTTTAGATGCAGGTTTGCAGAACAAATAGTTTCTCATTAAACCATTAATACACATGATTGTTTTATGACATTGGTTAACAACCTCACGACATGTCAACACTGTCCCTTCTCAACCTTGGGTTCCCTATTACCAGCTTTCCTGTCCTCTCCTGCCTTCTAGTCCTTGTCCCTGGACTGTTGTGCCCCTTTAGTCTCGTTTTGTTTTATGGGGCTGGCTAATCTTTGGCTGAAGGGTGAACCTCGGGAGTGACTTCATTACTGAGCTAAACGGGTGTCTGGGGGCCAAGGCTGTAATCTTTATGAAAGCAAATTGCCACATCTTTCTCCCATGGAGCAGCTGGTGGGTTTGAACCACCAACTTTGCAGTCAGCAGCTGAGCACTTAACCACTGCGGCACCAGGGCGCTTTTACATAGCTGTAGGTTGAGCAATCTGAAATTGCTAGTGTCTGGCTGCCCTTGACCTACAAAAAGATCAGTTTTCTTGTTTATCGTGGTAGTCTATATAACGTAAAACTTCCATCTTAACCGTTTTTAAGTGTACAACTCCGTGACGTTAGTTACGTTCAAAACGTTGTACAACCCCCAACCTGTCTGCTTCCAAAATGTCATCACCCTGCACGAGATCCCTGTGCAATCCGACCGTTTCAGCCTCATATCTTGTCAGCTTGTTCAGTGCCTGGACCTGCCCTGCTGTCAGCATTCAGAGCAGGCTTGTCTTGCTTATTGCACTTGGCCCACACTGGGCACACAGTAGGTGCCCAGTTGCAGCTCCCACCGACCCCCGATCCCTCAGCTTCAGGGTGAATTCTCCTGAGGGGCCCACAGACAGAATGGCCGGGGTCCCGGTGCTCCATCCCGGTGGTGCTGGGGGTCCCTTCCCAGGCCCCGGGAGTGACGCAGCCCCCCTCCCCCAGGTGGGCCCAGCCGGCTCGCAGTTCGGCCTCCTCGCGTGCCTCTTCGTGGAGCTCTTCCAGAGCTGGCAGTTGCTGGAACGGCCGTGGAAAGCCTTCCTGAACCTGTCAGCCATCGTGTTCTTCCTGTTCGTCTGCGGCCTCCTGCCCTGGATCGACAACATTGCCCACATCTTCGGCTTCCTCAGCGGCCTGCTGCTGGCCTTCGCCTTCCTGCCCTACATCACCTTTGGCACCAGTGACAAGTACCGCAAGCGTGCCCTCATCCTGGTGTCCCTGCCGGTCTTCGCCGGCCTCTTCGCCTCCCTGGTCATCTGGCTCTATGTCTACCCCATCAACTGGCCCTGGGTCGAGTATCTCACCTGCTTCCCTTTCACCAGCCGCTTCTGTGAGAAGTACGAGCTGGACCAGGTGCTGCACTGACCCGCCGGGCCGGCCAGGCCACGCCACTTATCCTCAGAGCGGTGACGACCAGCCTGCCCCAGCTGCCGGCTCCAGGGCGCTCTGCCCGCACCCCAGAAACCCCCGGATGGGGCGGGGCCGGGGCCTCTGACTCCAGGGGGGATAAGGGAGGTCCCCTGGGGGAGTGGAGCCCCTCTTTCTCCAGCTGTGTGTCCCTGGCCCAGGCTGGAGACATCCGGAGCGCCTGATTCTCAGTGGCCCTGACCTCAGGCCCAACCGCCATTCCCACTCCCCAGTTTCGGGGCCATCTGTTGGGGGTGGGGTCTGTTCTTCCAGGGTCCTGAGGCTGTTGTGTTCCCCCAGCTCAGCCTCTGCTGCTGCCTTCTGCCGCCATTACTGTGAATGTGCCCTTCCCAGGGATGTGGCTGTCCCCTCTGTTGGCCCAGGGCGGCCTCAGGCTGGGCAGCTGTCTGGGCACCCAGGTTCCCACCCCATCTCACCACACCCACCTGCTCCCCGTCCTACCCACCCACCCCCACCCCATGGCCCGGTGAACCCCATCAAGCGTTCATCTGCGGTCCTGAGCTGCACTCGGGCTCCTGTGCTGGGCAATGCTGGGGCAGCTTTGGCTGTGGGCTGCGGTGCCGAGAGCTTTTAGCTGTACCCCCTGAAGGGAGGGAGAAGGGGCCCTTGAGGGGATGAGGCTCCTGTGTCCCTGACCCGCCCATCCCCCCGTCCTCGGGGCACCTTCAGTGTTGTTCTGCTCCCCCACAGGGCTGGCGCTCTGATGGTGCTGCCCCAAGACCCACTACCTCACCCACCACCCGAGTCGGGGGGACGACTGGGCCACCCTGAGGACCTGCTCCCAGGGGTTGCGCGAGGTTCAATCAGGTCCAAGTTTTTTTTTTTTTTTTTTTAACTAGTTTGTATTACGTTCATGATTTTTAAAACTAACGCTAACTTTGTATGGACACCGTCTCAAGGGTATTAAATATTCTTTATGGGAAAGGTAGAGCACCGCGTTTGATTCTGAGGCCTGGGGTAGAATGGAAATGAGAGGTTTTTGTGAGGTCAGGTTAGGAGCAGTGGCTCGGCCCAAAGGGACAGTGCAGGACTTCAAGGAATTTGGTTGGACCGGAAACTGAATCAAGGTCCAGTGTCACACAGAGGACCTCAGGGGGTCCTTTGAGAGGGCTGAGATGAATCCTTAAGACTCCTGGGGTCCCCATTCCCCAGCTTGTCCTGCCCTTGTTCAAGGGCAGCAAGGGGGCTGGCTGGTCCGGGGGTGCCCGCACTGGCCAAGATAGCGCCGGGGAGAAAGGGCAGCGCTTGTCCGTTCACTTCATCGGGAGGGGGTGGGGGGCAGACTGTGCTTCCGACACCATGCCTCCCCCACAGCCCTTCACACCATACTAGGGAGGCTGAGGGGCATAACCACTTTAATTAGGGTGGGCAGAGGGGTGGCGGGGGAGTCGGCCGGGAGAGGAGGGCTGGCCTGGGGAGTTGGATGGGACACAGACATCCAGGGGAAGGATGGAGAAGTAGACCAGCACCTCCCTGCCCCAAGGTGACACCGTCCTGCAGGTCACTGGCCTCCCCACCCCCTAACTCCAGGGGCTGAGGGGCGGAAGGGCAGCTATGAGGTTGGGAGGGTAAGGGATGCTGCCCTGGTGCTGAGCCCCTTCCAGCCCTCCTACCTGGAACATTAGCCAATAGTTTCTGACATTCACCCATGATTCCTCCCCTGTCCCATTACCAAACCCAGCCGCTTCCCCAGGGATGTCTCAAGGGGCTCATGAGAACAGACTGGAGGACGTGCCGCCCCTGCCCTGGATGGCAGCCCAGGCTGAGGAGGGGCCACCCCATCCTCCCCATTCACCAGCCTTCCTAGGCTGCCTACATCTCCGCCGAGCTGGGGTGGGGCCAGGGCAGAGGCGGCCCGGTGGGCGGGCTCAGCAGCCACTGTACTTGCGCAGGAAGGCGTGGCCGCGCAGGCTGCACTGGAGCTCGGTGAAGGCCAGGGAGCCCACGGTGACGGCGCACGGGGCCATGGCCTGGAAGCCGAACTTCTCGTAGAAGGGCACCAACGCGTCCTCGCACATGAGCACAGCTCGGCGCGCGGCCGGCTGACTGCCCAGGTGCTGCAGGTAGCGCCACAGCAGGATGGAGCCCTTACCCTGCCGCCGGAAGGTGCGGTGCACTGCCAGCACGTGCAGGTGGGCCGGGCGACCCCCGGGCCTGTGCAGGGGGGGGGAGGGGCGCAAGGGACGAGAGTCCAGGTCACCTCTGCAGACACCTGCCCCCGCCCACCCCACCCAGGCCAGGAGAAGGCGTCCCTCCCACCCTCAGCCCCATGGAGGAGACTTTGTGAGGGGCTTTGAGAACCCAAAGGGCCCGGCTCTCTTGCCCTGGGAGGGGGCCGTGGCAGGCTCATCTCTCCGTTCTGGAGGAAGAAGTCCCAGCCTCCGTCCCACTGGCAGCTCTGTGCCTGTCTCACCTGAGTGAGTCTCTCCTCGTCCCACAGCGAGCCGATGAGGAAGGCAACCAAGCGGCCCTCCTCGAACCAGCCCAGGGACAGCTCTGGACACAGCGTCAGGAAGTGCCGGATCTCATCCAGGTACAGGGGGCAGAGGCCCGAGACAGAAATGAAGGCTAAGCAGGGGTGACACGTGTGTGACCCAGTGGTCACTAAGCCCACACCCACTGCCCATTCAGCATCCTCTTTGGGTCCTCCCACCCCAACCCTGACCCACGGAAAAGCGGAAGATTCAGGGCTGCTGTTTTCCCCACTTCCTCACCCTGAGCATGGCGCGCGCGCACACACACGTGCGCGCGCACATACCACACGTGCGTGCATAAGTACACGTGCAGACACGCATACACCATACTCCCACATGCACACACACACGCACACATCACACCACCCCTGCACACATGCGTGCCCGAGTACACAAACACACGTGCACACACACAAGTGCATGCTCACACACATACATACACACATGCAGTCTGACACTCCCAGGGCCCAGCTTTCAGAGGCAGGAGACAGCTGAGGAGCTGGGATGCGGGACCTTCTCTCCCAGGGCCACTAGACCAGAGCTGACCAGAGGCCCGGAGCCTTTGCGGGGGCCACCCACCTTCCCGCTCGATCTCAAACACGTTGGTGGCATCCTCTGGGGTAAGGCAGCGGAACTCGCTGGCTGGGAGTGTGTGTCGACGCTGGCGGCTCAGGGAGTCGGGGACCCCAGGCGGCAGGTACAGGGTGGCAGGCGTCAAGGGGTGGACACTCTGCGTGGACGTCCTGGCCGCCGGCGTCTCCCTGGGGCGCCCCTGCTTTGGAAGGGGACTGCGTGGCTGAGGAGGGGCCCCAGCACCTGTAGAAGAGTGAGGGTCTGGTGACCGTGTGCCTCACCTCTTGGACCTGGAACTGGGGTGAGGCCAGCACCAAGCAGGGTGAGCTTCTCCCCCAGTTGTCTGGCCCGGGCAGTTTCTAGGGATGGCAGACACGGTGCGCTCACCTCCCCTCTCCCTCCCAGCCAGAAGGACTCACGGGACAGCCCCCCATGCCTCCAGCCTCCACATTCTGGTGTTACTGACCTCCGGGTGTATCAGAGCCCTGGTGAGAGCAGTGGCAAGGCTCCATGGAGCCAGGGAAGCTGCACTGCTGGCCAGGAGGAGGGGGAGGGAGGGGACGTGAGCCTCCATGGAGCACTTCCAATGCTGCCAGGCCCCCCATACCACCGCTGGGAGCCATCCACAGCTGCTTACCTGCCCAGAGGAGACTTGCAGGTCCTTTGGGTGCAAGACGGTGTGGCTGGGGGATTTTTAGGCAGCCTCAGCCCTGGGCCCTGGAGAAAAGCCCTAAATCTCGGTGAGCCCCAGGCAGCCTTCACGTTTACCCAGGTGGCCTCAGCCTGGGCCATGCACACAAGGCTGAGGGTGGCTGGGGGCAGTCGGGACTGCAGGGGGTGACTGGGGGTTCAAAGCCTGGCTGGGGGGAGTGGGGAGGAACAGGCATGGGGGCACACGAGACACCTCTGGCCCCACCCTGGCTTGTTGACGTCCCCTGTGGCACTTCTTTGTCTCTCTCATGATACCCTACAGATGGGAGTTCTGAGCATAGGCCGCCCTCCAGCTCCAAGAGACGCTTAAGAGGCCCCCAGTGGCTTCCACATCCACCCTGCCCTCCCTCCACCTCTTCTCTCCCTGCAGCTAGAAGCTCCAAGTAGGGTAGCTCCTGAGAGCCAGTGGGGGAGGGTCCCACTCACCAGGACTGTAGGGGGCGGGCCCCAGTGTTCCCACGCAGAGCCAGTCAGCCTAGGGGCCCGACCACAGGTGCAGGAACCGGGAGAAGCCTGGAGGCCTGGGTGCAGGGGCTGGAGTCACCAGGCAGCATGTGATGTTGCTCCCAGGGGTCGCTAATCGCCTGCCCCATCCCCCGCCTTACAGCAGCAGGACGGGGCCAACAGAGCCTGGCAGCTCCGCGCCTGCCGTGTCCAGGGTGGCACGTCAGCACAGGCGCCCTTGGCAAGAGGGATTACAGCAGCCAGACTCAGGCCTGGAACTGGGGAAAGAGCGGGCTAAGCCCCAGGGGTCCAGCTCTAATCCCTGCCCTGTCATCTGCCTGCTGCCCCTGAAGTTTGGGCAAGCCCATCTCTGAGGTTCCTTCCAGCTCTGGCAGCCTGCAGACACCCCCGTTTATAGCACTTAGTACATGCCGAGCCCTGGGTAAGAGTCTCCTTGAATCCACACAATCAGTCAGCAAGGTATTAACACTGGGCGGCACAAACGGTTAAGCGCTTGACTACTAGTCGAAAGGTTGGTGGTTCAAACCCACCCAGAGGTGCCTTGGAAGACAGGCCTGGCGATCTGCTTCCAAAAGGTCACAGCCTTGGAAACCCTATGGTGCCATTCTACCCTGCACACAGTGGGTTGCCATGAGTTGGAATTGACTTGACGGCAACTCACAATGCCATAGAGGAGGAAGCTGAGGCTCAGAGGGGTGAAACGACCTGCCAAAGTCACCCAGGAAGCAGGTGAAGCACAAGAGGCAAACC